TCTTATCTTATCTTATCTTATCTTATCTTATCTTATCTTATCTTATCTTATCTTATCTTATCTTATCTTATCTTATCTTATCTTATCTTATCTTAGTTGCAATGCAAAAACACCAAAGTGTCACTAAATTGAGATTGTGAAAGCATTTCAGTTTTCATTTCTTAGTTTTATGTTACTATAAAATGTATTTCTGGGGACAGTGCAAGGTCATTTTGATATGCCAAAGAAAGTTTAAAAAAAAGAGTTAATTTCTAATAATTGTGAGCTGTAGCCTTAGTCTCAAATTTTGGTGCAGCTGCATCACAAGAAACTGACCGATGGTGTGGGAAGTAATTTGCATTAGTCAAAAAATTCAGTTTCTACTATTGTAACACTCCTCTAATCCAGCTTGTTTCTGTGCTTCATAATTGAAAAACACTTATCCCTATCATCAACTCATAATCCTTGATTATTTCTTCCCCCAAGGCTTCAGCAAAGCACAGTGCCTTTGCCCGGTAGCTGGACATATCACGACAATGAGGGGGAGCAAAACAGGAAGGATCAGCTCAGTGTAGGCGGGGTCAACAAGGTGACCGTGGTGATGAGTAAAAGCTCAGATCGCCTGTCCCCCATGATGAAGGAGACGAGATCCAAGTTTAAGAAGTCACAGAGCATAGACGAGATTGACATTGGCTCCTACAAGGTCTACAGGTAGATATTGTTCTGATTCTTCTTAAAGAAAGCTCAAGCTCGATTGCAGCTACTGAAGTTGATTTCTAATGATGCCACGTTCCTCTGCAGCATTCCCATGGACAGCTATAGTTCATCCATTGAGCAGCAAACTAGTTTGGACCGTCCAGAGCTCCCCGGTTCTATGGAGCAGACCAACATGTCACGGTCACAGTCTGCCCCCATGTTAGATGAGGAGATGGGATACCCCGGACACGGATCTGGCGACCAAAACCAGAGACAGAACCAAAAACCTGCCATCCCACAAAAGGCTTACCACTTTGACCACAACTACAACCCGCAGGTTCGATGGAGTTGTGAACCATTGGTAGCGCTCATATATTACGTTTTTAGACATACACAATAAAACTAAAATAATCTGATTGAAACCAAACAATACAAAGTTAAACAAACAATTCTGTTCTTACCAATCAGGTGACCATGGATCGCCGGGTCCCTCCCCCTTTCCCAAACACACCAGATTATGTCAACCACTCATCGAAGGCTTTGGAGTACCTCAACCAACCAGGGAAGACACTACCCAAAGAGCTAGTGAGCCCTCGGTATCGTGCATATCCACCCTTGGAGATGTTTTCTTTCCCCCAGTCGCCAATCAACCAAGATGGTCCGCCCAGCCAGCAGCAGCAGCCAATCCCAAGTCAGCGCTCCAGACCAGGATTTCTAAGAAGAGCGGACTCACTGGTGAGCTCTACGGAGCTCGCCTTGTTCAGACGGGTTCATGAAGCTCAGCAGGAGGCGCTCCAAGAGTCTCAGTACAGACAACAGGTAAGCACAACAAAACAAGTAATGCTCATATTCCATAAATGGATGTGATTTTCCCTTTCATGTACTTTATTGAAATGTAAAGTAAATCATAGAAATGTGTTTCTTTCAAACACTGTTTATTCCCTAAGACCCAAAGTTAGTTTTTGTTAAGGCTCTACTTGAAAGTCATCCCCATCCCCATGCATTTATTTGAGGCCAGGATGAAAGCTCATACTTTTGTTTTTTTTAACTCCCACTCACTTCCCATCTGTGACCCTCAGGTGGATCCCCCTCTTTATGGCCGGGCTGTCTACTCCACTCCCATGGAGCACTCCGCGATGAGTAATATGGCCGACAACCAGAGTCAGATGCTGCACAACAAGAGAAACGGTCGTTATGACGACGACTACCCCACTTACCAGGAGCAGAAGAAGCCCATGATTGGTTATCCAACCAAGAGCCTGACTCAGCGGCGTCCCCTGTCTGCCAGAAGTTACAGCACCGAGACCTACGGAGCATCTCAGGTACACTGTTTGTCTGTGTGTTTATGTTTCTACTTAACTGAGCCCTTTAAAAAGAGGCAGTATTAAAGTGAAAGAGTCATGTTACAGTTATAACATAATGGCTCTAACTAACAGTTATTTTCCTTACAGGCAAATCTGCCAGTTTCTTTTTGTTCACTTAAGTATCACTTGCCTTCTTTAAAGATGCCTTAAAACAATAACAGGGGCAGATCACCATTTTCAAAATCCCATCCTGACATTTTCAAATATCTTGTTTTGTGTGGTCAGCAGTCAAAAGCCACAGTGATTCAGTTACAACACAGGAACACAGCAGAATAATCTGCCCTGCTTTTAATATGCCTGCTTTTATGTCGTCTCTTTGAGGATGCAGAATTATAGCTTTGTTTCACTTCCATTTTCCTATAGGTACCCAGGTTCAGGTTTTTGTAGTAGCGAACTAAGAGGCATAGCACTGGTGTCCTTTGCCTCAGTCGTATCTCTGAAGGCGATCCCTCGTCCATAAATAATCCCTTCAGGCTATTCTGGGTTTGCCTCAAGTTAGACTTTCCCAAATTAGTCACAGTGAAGTGTCCAGCAGCATACTGATTAGATGTGCAGATCACTTCATCTGGCACCTTTCAACAAGAAGAAGCTGGGCATGGGAATGAACGTAAGGGCTTACATAGAGCGCTTGTGGCCGCTGTCTTTTCCCTGCCATCATTAGCCAACACTCAAAACTGAAGGTTGGAAAACACACCAGCTGTTACACAAAGAGCCTCACCTTTAGGCAGCTGGTGTAATGCTTGCATCGCTGTTGTGTTATCTTCGTTCACATGTGCCATGTGACCCAATCACATTGATCGCTATTAGTAATATTTCCAGCTTTGCTAAACAGCAGCAGTATCACTCAGTTGATCAGACCACCTATTGATCCAGACTGAAATATAACAGCTGCCGGTTGGATCACCTTTCAAAGTAATTCCGTCTGTCCATCGATCCACTTATCCACTCACACATGTACACACACATACACCCAAAGACACCTTTAAAGCAGATAGCGATTAGTCTCAGAAGTACTGTGTTTTTAGTGATAATTTCTTATGGGTCATACTGGGACTGGAAGCTGTCCCAGCTGTAATTGGGTGAGGGGCAGGGCACACCTTGGATAGGTTGCCAGTCCATCGCAAATCGATGCTAAACTAAGAAAGCAAACAGTGAGACTATTATACATTAAATGTTTTGCATTGAGTTTTGAGTCCTTCCTGCTTTTTAGTACACGTAAAGTAACAATTGACACAAAAACCTATCTGTACACACTCACAGAGCTAGTAACATGCTGTAGGGTTGATACTGATTTAAACAACTGACCAACACTGTCTTTCCTTTTGTGATTGCAAGTGGTTGGCAGAATAAAACAGCAGTTTAAGTGTTCTAGTCCTTCTGAGGAACATCCAGTGGTACTAGTCTGTTGTTTATTTAAGTCCTTAAACCACTTTGTGGGAGTGAAACAAGCTGTAAGCATCATAAATAGCATTACATATGTTATTTAATACCTAAAAAACACTCATTTGTAGCCACTTGATAAACTGACACTTGGTCTCCGTCTTGCATTTAGCTTTTTATCCACAAAATGTTCCAATATGGGCACTTGTTAATTATGAACCTTGTACATTTTTATGTTTAAATATTAACTCCCTTGTGTTCAGGCACGTCCGGTGTCCGCCCGTCCCACCATGGCCGCCCTGCTAGAGAAGATGCCACCTGACTACACCCTGGCAACCTGCCCCGAGAAGCCACCCGATGACACCATCAAAGTAAGACCTGTTGTACCCCAGAAACCTGAAGACATCACCTCCAAGATGCCTGCCGACTGGAGGCAACAGCTACTCAGGCACATAGAGGCGAAACGACTGGACAGGGTATGTCAGTGCAGTGCACACACACGTAAGAGAGAAACACGCGTACACATAGAAAGCATTCGGAAGCCCTCCCTGTGTGTATTTGTGCAAGTCTGTGTTGTAAGGTTAACCAGATTCATGTCTGGCTTCATGTGTTTCCACTTCACACCGTCACTCTGTCAGCCTGACCAACCACAAACTCACTACGACAGACAGCGCAGTAAATTCTGTATTGTGATAAATATTTTGTCGTGTCCTCAAATCGTCTTTCTTTTTGTGAACAAATAAAAGTCAGCAGGATCGTCTCCATATTAGGATTTTAATGGCGCTGAAAAAAAACTGTATTTTCACCTTTTTGTTTGTTTTGCACAATCACATGTTAAGGATCGTGCAATAGTATCACTGCAAAGGAGTAACATTTAGGAAAATACTTTCGTGACAGCTCAGTTATACTTTAGATTGATAAATAAAAAGCTACAGACTCGAAGTGCAGCTTAAACTGTCTAAAGGCAAAGTAATCCAATCAAATTCTCACATTTTGAGCACTGAGGATGGATTGAGCTGTTGAATGGTGTTTTCTGGATTTCTATCTTTCTTTGGCCTCCAGTTTTATACTTACCTGCAAACATGGGAGTGCTATCAGTCCTTTCATCTAACTCCCAGCAAGAAAGCGAATGAGCCTATTTTTGAAAATGTCAAACTAATTACTGAGAAGCAGTACCTCAGCAGACAGGACAATCAGACATGCTAGGGAGGAGGTCTGGAGCGTGCAGTTATGAAAAAAAGATAAAAACCTGCAGAATCTAAACAATATGATCCACCAAACCCATCACACGGTGCCTGATGCATCATCAAAAATGAAGTCTTTTGGTTATAGGTTTGGTTTAATTGTTTGTCAGACATGTTACGCGACAGCTAATCTAAAAGCCTTACATACAAATGTTGGAATGAACTGATCCACCTGTTGTTGCCTGTATGACGCACTGTTCTGTGTGTATTGACCGATCACTAGCTAACATTTCTCTGTGCTTTCAGCAGCTCTGCACTCTTGTTGTTGTTGCTGTTGTTGTATCTGTTATTATCAGTGTTATTGTTGTTTGTTTGTTTGTGGAGCTCACAGTGTGTTGTCGCCATGCTACAGCCCGCTGTGTTGGCTCCGCCCCTTCCTCCTCCTCCCCCCCCTCCCCACATTCACCCATGTCGTGTGATGTTGTCTTCTCCAATCAGAGTGGTGTCCTAAAGCACAACACGCTCACGCTGGGCATGCTCTGTCAGGGCGGGGGTCACGGCCAGGGGCGCAGCAGCACTTTGAACTTTAACCTTTACAATAACACTAAGCATGAGCCCTCTGCTGGCCGCTGGCTGCCACTACCTCCACCTCCGTCTGCTAACGCTGTGAGTATCCCTCCAAGAACAATGTTACTGATGCTTACAGTATATGATTAAAGACAACTTCAGCTACTCCCTCTTTACATTCTCGCCGCTAATACAAACTATTATTTAAACAAAACAATGACCATGCAAACTATTTTAGTCACTGTTATATGTTCCCTGTCTTCAACCCAACAATAAGAATTGGAGAAAGCCATTAAAATCCCGTGGGTTTTTTTGTTTTTTTTCTCAGCATGACTTGAAATCATTCAGTGCCCAGTGTGGCAGCCTGGTGGTGGCTTGTTTTAAAGGATTTAAAACTTGAAATATGTCACTTACCATAACAACAAACAGAAACTTGTTTTTCCTTTCTTGCAGCAGTCACAGTCTGTCTGTCAAATTTTGTCTGACACATGTTAGGCATTCCTCATTTACAGCGTTTTCAATCATCTTAGGCCAGCTTAGCTGTTACCAGCTTTTAATATCGCTGTCATTTCTCCACGAAGTGGCACTAAACTCTGGAAAACAAACAGATTACTACTCAGGTTTTTTTTCCAGGGATAAACCAATATATTGTTTCAATATCACATCAGCCTTATGAAGCTGACATCTTCTGAATGTAGTGCCCATTGATTTTCTGATAATCATTAATTATCGGTTTTGGACTGGTTTAGAGGCCCAGAGGAAGGGCAGAATGACTTTAACTCTCTAAGGTCTGACTCATGAGTGCTAGGTGATAGCCTAGCACTCATGAGTCTATATTTACTCTATATTTTGGAGACAGATAGAATTGACTCTTTTAAAAAAAACAGGGGGGGGGCTATAGTTAGGGTTGGAGCCATCGCTGATGATGTCTTAGAAGGTGAAAACAAGTACTTTTTTTAAAGACACATTCTTTGTTTCTTTGCAACAGCAAAAAAAAAAACCCAATATAAACTATAAACATCAGTATCTGAAATGGCAATAGACTAAATTGCTATTTCAAACTTTTTAAAGTTGCAGTCGCTATTTCTGTGAATATCTCAGTGGTTTGATGTGGGCACGGCTCATTTAGGCTTCAGTCACACAGGCCTGGGGACCAGATGGTGACAATCTAGCAACCACCAGTTGGTCACTAAGAAAAACTGTGTATTCTGCAGTCACTTCTCGAGTATTTGTAGGAGGTTGCTGCCAGTCACTGGTTGAAATAGGTTGCAGGTTGCCATCGTTTGCCAGCAGTTTATATGGAAGATGGTGATTTGTCTGCAAAAGTAGTACAACTGGGGAAAAGTGCTACACAAAATGGAAATGGAGTATAAGTAAAATTAACGCCTGTTGAAATGTGTTACTTTTATTTTGAAGGGCATTTTACTTAGACTCCATTGGCATTTTGTGTTACACTTTTTCAAGGTTTTTTCTGAAAAACTCCTCTCATTTAAGCGGGTTTTTAGGGGGGCTTTTGGTGTGGAAAAAAGGGGGAATCATAAAAACAATCTGTTCACGTTGAGCACGATATCACAGGTTTTATCACCGCCTAACATGACTTCATCTCGAAGGAGAAAAATCTGTTCCAGCTCTGTTCATTCTTCCAACTGAATCTCAGATGAGCTGTCTGAAACTCCAGGAGATAATAGGAAGACATGACTGGGGTAGCTAGAGTTTAATGTTCATTGTCAGTAATGACCACTTTGTCTCTTTCAGACCCCGTCTCAGCAGGGTGGCGTGCTGGACAATGACCAGGAGGGGGTGTCAGGAAGCAACCAGTGGGCTCCCTATTCACTAGGCAGGAGGGACGTCCCACCTGACAACCTGTTAAAAAAGGTGAGATCTGTTCACATCTCAGTGAAGCATCTCATCTCTGTTTTTATGCTGAGCATCTTCTCAGTGATAAAGATAACTATTTGTGCAATTACTCTTAATCACACGTTACATATATTCCCGCTCTCCTTCCACAGAGCGCCCATTCCCATAACCCTTCCCATCAATCACACAACACCATGATCGTCACTTCCTCTTCCTCCTCCTCGGCCACTACACCTCATCGTGTGGTGGGTCAGCAGGGCTACGATGGGATGATGAACAAAGGAGGCCAATACAACCAAGGGATGCAGCTGTCAGTGGTTCCGTCTGGGGGGCCGGGACAGTACCAAGGCAACATGTCCCAGGGTATTGGCAATAAAATCCTTTTATTTCTATTTATAAATCTTCACAAGGAGACTATTTTAAGCAAGAATGTAGAAATCTTGATTAGCAGCAGTAATCCATGGGCCTCACATTAACAGCATGTACACATATCTATTTTAGAAGCTTTGTTTTAGAGTTAGATGCTACCAGCCTGTTTTTCTCCATACAGCCCCTGGACAGGCCTACCCCAGCGGTGGTCTGCCTATGGCTCTGTCCCAATCCGGAAACCAACCCCAGTACAACCCCCATACCTCTCACACCTCCCATCAGCCCGCTACCAATCCTCAGTACCATGTCAACCAGGGCATGGGCCATAGCAACCAGGTCGTTATGACCACCCACACCAACCCACGGCCTCAGAGCGCTCGCTGCCTGTTGCAGACTAAAGGCCAGAAGAGCACGGATGGTTTTCAGGAGCAGGTATCTGTCTGTCTGTCTGTTCATGTGTCTGCCTGCACCAACCGCACCAAAAGCAATATTGGAGGTCTTTTCAAAAATGGGCTCTTCTAATATTACTATATACAGTATTACTTATACTACTATTACGTATGCAGTATAGGGGAAGGGATATTTCTGTAGCAGTAAATGTGAATGCTTTGATGGAATAAATATGCTCCTGCATGTAGGGTTACCTCTCAGTAACTAATTTCAGCTTTGTTTAGCTCTATCTTTACTGGAAAAATAGTTCCCCTTAATCTCCATGATCCGCTGTTTGGTAACTAACCCGCAAACTAATCTCTCATAGAGTGATTAGTGCTTGTTTACATCAGTTTCATTAATAGGAGGACATGGAGGGTTCAGATTAGATGCTCAGTTTCGCAAGGAGAATTTATTGATACCAGATATAACCATAGTTACCAGAGTTACAGTTTCACAGTAGCACTCACTCTGTTAATAAAAAGAAAGCTAGACTTTGCCCCTGTGGCATCACACAGTGGTTTTTTGGAGTTCTGTGTTGAAGCTTGATGATTACGGCGCCATCCTTCGCCACCTTTCTTTGGATGAAACCAAAAGGGTGGAACACTAACTTATCAGCTAACACTAGTTAGTGTTCTCTCACAGACTAGCTAGGTTTATTTAAAGATTTGATGTGTACATCATACAAATACCTACTAGAGGCTGCTAGTTTGTGCTAATTACAATTAAAAACAAGATGCTGAAATATTAATTTACAGATTTACAGACTTGGATGGGCTGACCAGAACCAAAAACCAAGTCTAGATGTGTAGCTTTTGACAGGCTGTAAACATGTTTTTTTTTTTCTGATATAAACTAGGCCAACATTGGAATCCATGGGGAATTTACTCACTTTTGGAGCCAGCCTCAACTGGCCATTTGGGAAATTGCAATTTTCCCGCCCGTACAAGATTAACTTTTAAACTGCAGACCTTGCTTTGCTCTTGGATTAGACCAATACAAGGCAGCAGTCAACTAAAGGGGGGAAATCTTGAGATATCTCATGCTTCTAAATGCAATTTTAGCCACTTGACTGCAACAGCCTGGGCTGAAACATTTTAAAAAGTGACAGAGATGGGATTAAATTAGATTAGACATTTCAAAGCATGAGATTAGAGTGCCAGTTGAGGTGGGAACCTGAAGATCTAAACAAAAAGCAAAGATCTCTGTGCCTCAGCTGTTGCTCCATAAAAGACCTCCAATACAGCATAGGTGCCAAAACATATTGCCCGTCACACACGAGCGCACTTCCACATGTTGTCTGGTCACTGTCTGTCTGTGCGGTGATTTTTCACAACTTTGTATTTCACTTTCAGTTGTTGTCTTGTCTTTTCTTTTCTTTTCTTCCTGTATCTCTCCCTCCTCTCTCTGTAGCTGTGCGTGAGAATAGAGAAGAACCCTGGTCTTGGTTTCAGTATCTCTGGTGGCATCAGTGGCCAGGGGAACCCCTTCAAACCCTCCGACATGGTACGACCTGACCCGGCCTGCCAGCCAATCGCAGCCTCCCCGGTTTTACCTCAGAGTTGCCATGGAAACTGCTGCTTGTTACTGCAGTGTTTTCTTTCTCTGTCTGTTTGTCTGTCTGTGGGGCAACCGCTTAACGTGGTTAGCTGTGGGTGTGTTTGAGTGCATAATGTTACATGTAGGGCTGTGCTATTAATTTGGTAAAGAAACACTAAGGTGTGATTGGGGGTGTTTCCAAAACTAAACCTGAGCATTGTTAGACTCACTAGTGATTATGATACTTGAGTCTGACATACTTTAATTTTAGGGTTGTTTTGATGTGATCTAAATACCTTCACAGCATCCAGGGCAAAGCTCCTTGTTTGGTTGGTCAGCAAACTTTAAACAGCTATGTCCACATGCATGCAAATATAAGATAAGCCAAACTCTCTTATCATTCCTACTTCTGAGTCTGACAGTGTCTGTCAGTGTATGCCAGGACAGAGAGCCTGTTGGGGTTGCAGCTCCCCAAGGCCTGCAGCACATGGCAGTCTGTCCTAGAAACACACTGCTGCAGTCAGTCTAAAGGAGCGATGCTGCTCGTGGTGCTCTGACTGCTATTTTGGGAAAGCTGCTCAGTTCTGGGACACCGTGGGTGATTTCAGATGTTCACCACTTTGATCTAAGGACAGGGTTATATGACAGATTTTGACTGACTGTTATTCTGAGCAACAGAGGAGACGACTGCCCTATAAATAGAAAGTACACAGAAAGAGTGCTTTCCATTGCACCCTTGCAACAAACGGGGAAGTTTCTTCTGAGTCGGGAGTAGACTGATTATGTGGAAACTGTCAGTTCATCATTTTAGTTTTTGAAGCAGACAACTGGTGAAACAGTTGCTGACTCGTGCAGTTATTTTAATACTCCCTCCTCTGCTTGTATCCATAGGTCTTGCACTAGCTGCAGTTTGTACATTATTAATGCCGCGTTACACGGGCAGAAAATGGAGTCAATGCAGATGAACATTTTGTCAGAGGAATACGAGATAAGGTTACGTTATCTATCCAGTTAGTGTGGAGCAGTGGGCATTGTGGAACACTTGGTGACGTTTCACTTTAGAACCGAACGCTTGCTTTTACCATACATACTGTGGCGTCCGGCGAATGGCGAAAGTGGACGTGTCAGTCAGTCACTGCTCATCTGCTGGATATTCGCAGTGATTCCCACTGAATCGTCAGCATGTATGGTTCAAAGGAAATGTTCTAAAGTGAAATATTGATTTAGATGTCCCCTGTGTCATGTTATATAGACTGTATGTCTGCTTTATCTAACTAACCCACAGGGTCACATGGAGGGAGCAGATGGAGGATATTTGTCTGCTGTCAAAGTTACAGTGCCGGGATACAACCGCAACTGTTACAAGCATCCTCCTCTGAATCCTTGTTCTCGCTGTTGTTTCATTCACACGTGAGAGGCATCAAGCGGAAGCCATTAACGGGTGCTTCGGAGTTTTATCAGTGGTAGTCACCTCGGGCGTCAATTTGTCACCAAATTCAACTCAAACTAGAAGCAGATGCCTTTGATTATTCTTTGAATCTCTTTTCTGGCCTATTCGTGAGAGTGTATCTGTTTGTCATCTGATGTGTTTGCAGCTATTTTTGGTTAAAGCCAGTGTTAGCTTTCAGATGAACTCGAGGTGAAAGAGTTAACAAGGGCTGTATGTTTGAAAACAGCTTGACTACTAAATTATACATCTGTGGTTTTGGATCCCCAGAGCCTACTACAGCTGTGGCTATTCCACAGGGCTGTGGCTCCCCCTGGTGGACAGCTTGTTATTTGCACTCGTGCTTTGATGGGTCTGGGACATGCCCACATGTCCAGGTGAATCACAGATGGTACAGTAGGAAATTGGTATCAAAACCACCAAATATAACACAACTATACAAAATAATTAAATCTATATTTGCTTTTAACTCTTTACCTAACAGAAAAAAATACCTTCTTTAAAAATTTAGCTTTATCTGTCTCTGTTTTTTGCAGAGAAACAGAATAATCTCCAGGCTAGATCTCCAAATAATTGAAAGTTTACAAAATATACCTCTTTAAGTACCGCTCTCATGTACCTGATGATAATTTTTTCCTCTTTCAAAAATCTATCAGTCATCAACAGGTGTCTAAAAAGAAGCAATGATGATAATAGCCTCGATGTTGGACTTACAGGACTCACTGAGGCCCTCTAAGCCACTGGGCCAGTTTTACGTCTGCCTAATTAGGACTCGGCAAGCAGAGACAGGGAATTAGTTCATGTATCGAACGGATTGGGATCTGGGCTTTGATCTTTGAGCTTCTCAGGGTCGGTTTAAGAACAGAAGACTGAAGGTTTTAAGGATCAGAACACGGATTTTATTATGTTTTCTTTTTGTTAAATCTGGGTCAGGAACATTTGAAAATCCAATTTTCTGTCCCCTCTGTTGTTAGATGTACTGTTGTTGCGCACTGAGCTGCTGAGATACAAACACATGTTACATGTTTAAAGGAAAAGTCTAAAATCCCCGTGTGAAACATTACTAATATTGTTCCCGATTGTGTAGAAGGTTTTTTAGGAGATGGAAGGATTTTGCAAGATGCTGCAGCTCTGTGTGCAACTGCTCTGTTGTGTGTAAATGTTTAATTGGTGTGACTAATGCTACACAGTTTTAGCCCCTACTAAACTTTTTTGTAAAGTACAGTGAGCTTCATATTAGATCAGAAAGGCCACGCTGTCGTACCCGTTCGAGGTGCCGACGCCGTAAAGAATGGACACAAATAACGGCGTCGTACACAGCATTTTGCAGGCAAAATGAAACCAGTTTGTATCCTGGTGAAGAAATTATTTTATCTGTATATGCATGCATGAGGCTCACTGTATACTAAATGTCACTGTTTTCACGTGGAGTCACTGAACTAACCCTTCCCCTGTGGAATTGTTTAACATGCAATATATGTGTTTGTTCTTGCATTCTCTCTCACAGACTGTAGTATGTAGGTGCTGCTGCACTCTCACTACTACACGTCCTATTTGTCACCTCTCTATGGCAAATATATCCGTGTGTTCAACACAACCTGTTGAACCGTGTTGAGTCGATACAGGTGCATTGTCCTACACTTTCTGTGTCCAAAAACATCTTTCAGCTCTCGGTGAAAAGATGTTGGTGTTTTTACAATCTCTGCCTTGGGTTATTGAGGGAAAATATGGGGGATGAATTTTTCTTCTGCCCTGCCCGCGACCTACTTCCTTCCCATAGTGAGAAACCCATCCCACGTCTACTCTTCTTCCCATAATCTTTAAATATTTACTGTATATATTTATATATTTATATATATGCCAAGTCTATATCGTTAAAAAGAGCTGCTAAATCTTTTTTGTCTCTTCGGGAGGGCTTTATCACCCAGTGTTTGTAAATTTTAAGAGAGCCGCTAATCTGAAGGAAACACAAGCACCTTACAACATAACAGTTTCAGTGTCAAAATATGTATGCAGTATTTGCATGCCTTTCCAAATTGTGAACAAAGAGAATGCTTTGATGAACTGGCCATATATTTAAAAGTGATTTATTTATTTATTTATTTATTGGGAGGGTTGGATATTGAGTTGAGAATGAGAAGGCAAAGATTCTAAACCATCGTGTCCCTGTGTTGTCCTAACGGTGTATCATTTTGACTTATAGGGTATCTTTGTTACTAGGGTACAGCATGACGGGCCTGCCGCCTCCGCCCTGCAGCCCGGAGACAAGATACTGCAGGTAACACCCGCTCACTCGCCATCACATAGACATCACAAACATCCACATCTTGTCCCTTCCATTCCCAGCCCCACCCTTTTTTCTTTTCTTATTAAACTGTGAGGTGAAAAGCAAGGGTGCAGTCATCCTACTGAATCTTTATGTTAACTGTAGATTGTGTGTGTGTGTGTGTGTGTGTGTGTGTGTGTGTGTGTGTGTGTGTGTGTGTGTGTGTGTGTAAGGCTTTCCTGCTAAATATTCTACCTGTATGTGTGTGTGTGCGTGCGTGCCACCTCAAAATATCAAGCACCACCCCCCACATACACCCGTGCGCCTTTGAGCCAAAGATCACAGTCAGATTTAAGTAGCTTTTAGCAATGTGTCATTTGTTATTCATTGCTGTAATGACAATGGGAAAAGCTGAAATTGCAGTAAAAGTTACAAATGGAGCACATGTAATCTCATAAAAACAGCTGAACTGACTTCTAATTTACACGGATAAACAAAACTGACAGGCACCTGAACCTGTCACTGGAGATCATCCTAAAGCCAATTACAAAGAGCATTTAAATCCCATAAAATGTAGAACAGTTGAACTGGACATCTTATACACAGGATAAAGGTAGGGTAATTGCAGATATACAGGTTCGCCATTGTATTTTTTCAAGCGTGGGAAATAAATAAAATGGCACAGGAGATTTTTACAAATGGAAAAAAAAAACCCTCTTTTTGCTTTAAATAGCTATTGGTTGGTATTTCCTACAAAGGTGCAGTGTTAGTTTTGTTCACTTGTGAAATGCCATCAGAGCACAGAATGTTGGGAGGAGGGTATTGAATCACACAAATGTGATCTACTAAGACGTACAGCTTAGTTTTCTGCAAATTGCACTGAATTTAGCACCAAAAGGAAGCATGTCAATTTTGGACCCTGTGTGGCTGTGATAGTTGCTGTTAGAAGTGTTAATTTGTTTAATGGGAAGGGGAGAGGTTATCAGAACAAGTGTGTAATTTGCGTAGGCACACGGTTTAAAGCTTTGACTTTGTCCTGCAGCTCTTCACTGAGTCCTCACCGTGAATGTTTAATATTTCTGGTCCTCACTGAAACTGGTGTTTTAATGAAACAGAGCAGAATTGAAATGAGCCAAACTTAATGTGTAGGGAGAATCCCAGTATGAGGGGTATGCACACTTTTTAAAGGCTGTGAAGTTAGTTTTTCCAGTGAACACTGTTTCTTTTGTTAGTCCCATTTCTACAGAGAGGTTGATATACAATTAAAGTGTGTTGGGTGTCTGCTCTTCCAGCAGTTTGCCTGCAATGAACTATTTTTTCTTTTTTTTTACTGATCTGTGGTTTTACATCCATTACCAACCAAATTTAAAGGGCTGTCAAAATACAGCTTCTGGAGCTCAAACAGATCTGAAGTGTGTTAGATTAATGTCTCAGTGCAACCTTGCAGTAAAAAGCACCTTGAGGCAACCGTTGTTGTGGTTTGTTGCTATATAAATAAAATTGAATTCAATTGAGTATCTTCAGCCTCACACAGAAAAAGAAGTAATGCGCACATTTGCGAATGCGATAAACAGCGACTTCATTAACACGTGGATGGGTCAGGATCGGATGATAAATAATCTTTGTGCTCTACTACACATTGTAAAGGTCAGCTTCCTGCATGTTCGCTGGATGAATTCTGCTTTACATTATGTGGTCTGCAACCCAGACAACCCAGAGAATGCCCGTCCTTATAGTTTCCTCCCGTATAACTTTAATGTTTCACTAATCCTTACATAACGCCCAGTGAAGCAGTGAAAACTCACTGTTTGACCACAGTTATTTACTGAACTCCAGAAGCAGGATGTGAGAAAAAAGCCTGAATATCAGGTACAATATATGTGGCTTGTGATGATTTCTAATTAAGTCAATAAACGTCCATGTTTTAGGACTAGCGACCACTTTTTTTTTTTTTTTTTTTTTTTTGTGTCCCGTTTGGATCTTTAGCCATCAGAATTGTTGTCTTAAGGCCAAGAAAGATGCCAAGCGGATTTATTTTACCAAGTGGATCATCATGGTCTTGCCATATTGGTCCATTTGATTGACCTTTATTATAATTATGAATTTATTTTATTTTCAGTTGCTACAAACAGGACAGACATGACTGGGGGATAGGACAGGGAGAAAGAATGAAAGAAAGAGAGGGAGAGAAAGAAAAACAGAGGGGAGAAGAGACGGTGAGAAGGGGGGGAAGAAAAAAACAAACAAAAAAACAAAACACCTGGATCACCTGTATGGAGAAAAAAAACAGAAGAGAAAGCAAACAGCAAAGAGCAACATAATAAAAAAAAACGGCACCATCACAATAAACTAGCTAGCAGTAGATATCAGTAGATACTAAATAATAAACGATATTGTGCAGCACGCAAGATAGACAGCGCGCAATGTGCTTTGAGGCAGCAGCCAAGAAACTAGCGACCACTTGAATAAACAATTTCAATGATCAGTAGAAATCCATGGGTTACGTCTTCACATTATTAGAAAGCTGTTCTTAATATAAAATAGCTTCAGCCGAGGCCTTAGATTTGAAAGCACCTGAACACAGCAGCTGGGTTATTTTTTTTAAATGTATTTTTACCCATGAACACAATCTAACATGGTTTCATTTGAAGTAAATATGAGTAAAACGATGTAAGTACGCAAGTACAAGTTATTTGGATTGATGTGCCTCGCAGCAATGTTTTCCCCATCAGCCAAATAATAATTGAACATCCGCCTCCCATGTAAAGCAGTCCAATTGAATCAATAAACAGTAAACAGCAACAGTAGAAATCTCACTCTCGCGCCACGCTACACGCATTTTATTGAGATGGATTGAGGTCAAAATAAGACGTCAGTGCTTTATGGTAATAGCTCAGCCTCCCTCACCCCCCATGTGCCATTCCTTTCATGTTTCCCTCTCTCCTCCCCCTTCATCTTCTTTCCACAGACTTACAGTGTAGCTGGATGAATTCATGTGAAAGCCCTTTTTTGTCTTTACCCCTTCTCTCTCTCTCTCTCTCTCTCTCTCTTTCTCTCTCTCTACAGCATGACTGTGTAGCTCCTCCTCTTCTCTCTCTTTTTCCCAACAGTGATGTGTTACTGAGATAATGATGGCAGTGACCCTCCATCCTTCCACAAAACACTCACACATAGACATGTGTATGGGAAACTTAAACGAGCCGCAGCACATATACCTCTATACACACGTGCACCCACACACATGCTGTTGACTGTGCTGCGTGTTTGCCTTGCAGGCTAATGGACATAGTTTTTTACACATGGAGCACGAGACAGCCGTCTCTCTGCTGAAGAGTTTCCCGCGGACGGTGGACTTGATGGTTCTGAGAGACAGCAGCACGCGCTAAAATAGTTTTTAAAAACAAACAAAACAAATACAGCAACGCTTCTCTACTCTGCTCATCGCCATCCCACGCCATCCCACCTGCCCTCCTCTGGAGGTTTATGGAACTGAAAATTGAGCCACATTTTCCCCCCTTTTTTTGTTGTTTTTTTAAAACATTTTTAAGGGAACAGTCAGACATTTATTTGCCTATTGCTGGACCAAAGGCAAATACCAGTGCCAAATGTACCATAGGAAACATATCGGCTCTTCTGTCTACCGGCGGTCAGCGATCTGATCTGATCGACGGCTGGACTAACCGCAAGAGGACTATACACTTTAAAGTTCCTACAGGGCTGCTGCAGTTTGGATTTTGTGGTTGGTTTGTGATTTAAGCTGCCATCTGAGCGGTCAGTCTGAGTAGTTTTTGTCGGTTAGTTAGATTTTGGGATATTTTTCTTTCTTTTCTCCACTGCCGTCCATTGTGAATTTAAAGTATTTTGTTTGGTGTAGCACATGGTTCGCTTTCCTTGTTCTTCACAGCTTTATTGTTTCTTTCGCATCTTCCGTCTTTTACCCCACTTTTCAGTCCTTTTTCTATCACCGTCTTTGATTTTCATACTCCTCCGATATATTTTTTGTTCTGTTCTGCAGGTTATTGCCTCCACTGTACAGAAATTGAAACTTAAGACTCTGCCTTGTGTACATACATAGAGATTCAGCTTGTTAGAACTCTCCTTGGGGCCTGAGCAGACAGCTCTTAAAAGTTTATGATTCTTATGATTATTGTTGATAAACTATATTCTCAATTCCCTCCTGTGGAAATACAGGGGTCGTTTCTTCAAATGGTTTTCTAAAGAGTATATCACCGTTTTATCTGTATAGAAAACACTTTTCATAGTTCATCACTGCTACTTGTTTTTTTTTCTTTTCTCTTAAAAAAAGCTGTTGCTTGCACAGCTGTGCTGAAAGGAGCTAAAGCAATATTTCTGAGGCTCGGCCCATTGAGCTTTTCAGCAGAGCCTTACTTGTCCTGCAGTGCCATCTATTGAGCAAGTCATGCTAATGTTTACACACACTGCCATGCACATAAACTAACAGGCAAATACACACATTAAATTACACATATCTATTCTCTGCAATGTTGCATAATGCATCCCTCATTTTAGAATATCATTTCCATTATAAAACTGGTCCATTAATATTAACGGTGCCATCTTTTTAAAGTCCTGTCTTATGTTGTGCAGTGATGTCACATCCCTTTTTAAGGTGTTTATAAAGTCACAGCATGCTTTTACATCACTGGACACTGACAGATAGCCATTTTCTGTTGGCTTCTGGACGTCTCTACTCTCTAGAAGACTCTAGACGTATTAAAGCACTAAGTGCTGCTTGTTGATCTGTGCCATATGCAGCCTCCTCGGCTGTATTTACAACAATATCAGAGCTTTACCTCTTTGTGGCCCAGCACACACTAAAATCAAATACGTGGCTTCAATGAGCCGGTAAGCTGTTCTATAGTCGTTGACCCGGCTTCAGCATCTCCTCTGCTGAAGTCTCCTGACCTTCGGCCTTCCTGTGGAAAGCAGTGTGAGACACTAATGCTCCTACAAGCATCTGCAAGGTTTCATTTTAGGAGGATAAATCAGATATCGTCTCTTTTTTTGACAATCGGGGAAACATCTGATTTGTGTCACATGTGCTTTCGGTTACACATGAATTGTAAAAGGTGGTGCTGATTGATACTCGGCATACACGGAAGGCTTGCTGAATTTGCTGGTAAATGCTCAAACTATTTAAAAGAGCAGGGAAAATGAAAGTTACGGTGGACCTGATGGGTCAACAGTACTGCAATTTAAGAAAACATCTGCAAACAGAAAAATGCTACAAAAGGTCACAAAAGAAAAAACCTTGGAAAAACACAATGGAAGTGTATTAGGGGAGATAATAATGTGACAGAACCAAAACATGCGAAGGGTTGCACCGACACACGCTTAAACGAAGTGGAGGATTCTTGTGAGGGGAAAACAAATGCAAGGTACTGTGTGTTTAAATCGCATAATAACATAAATATATGTTTGCTATTAGCCGATCACTGTTAGCTTCTCACGTCGGCAGCTGTTCCGTCATGCTATTGTGTCCCCAAAACACTTCCGTTGTGTTTTGTGAGGGTTTTTTTGTTTTTTTGTTTGATTTTTAGCTTTTGCAGCCTAATTCCATTTGCCAAAGTTTCCTAAAATTGCAGTACATTTGACCTCTCAGGGCCACCGTAGCAATAGACTCTATGTAAAAAAGCAAAAAGAGGGAAAAAAAACAAAACACCAAAACAGAGATTGAAAGCCTTTGCTCTGTAGTCTGACTTTTATAGTCACGCTTGAGAAGATATACTGACTAAAATACAGAGTCTCTTTTTGTCTTTATGTAAATGCACCATGGGTCTTGAAGGCATTTCATGGCAGTGAGTTTTGTTCTGTTCTGCATAACATCTGATGTTTCATCCGGAGCGAACCATCCTTCACTGTCCTTTTGATTTCACTTGACAGGTACCCTTTTTGTGCCAACTCTCCAAATACGATTTCCATCACTTTGTCAATAGGAGACACAACACGGCACAGTTTAATCATGTGGTTAGGAGATTTAACCACAGGTACCTACCCCGACCCTATTCAGAGTTTGAAATATCAAAGATATTGTGATGAGAACAGAGTAAAAGGTTTGATAATATAATTATTTTTTACTACATGTTTCAGGTAATTCTTTCTAAATATATTGATATACCTTAGCTTTGCTCAAAAATTGTGATATTTTATAATGACACTTATAACAAAGTTATGGATGGAAGTACGCACAGTATGACTTGGAGACCTACACATGTACTATCCAAAACTGTATAAAATGTATTTCTACTGTAATTGTGAATTTGTGTTATACAAATATATATTATATATATGTATATGACTATTTAAAAAAAATTCAGTCATTTTCTATGTGTTTAAACTGCTAAAAGAGCTGAACAAATGAGGGCGGTGTCACTGTACATAGCTGTGAATGAAATCCAATTTAAAAATGACTCATATTGATTGTGAATGTACTCATGCTTTCTGCAGTACCTACACCTACCCAACTTGAATGCTGCTTCTTCTGTTGTGTGACAAAAAGTACTTTGACCTCCGAAGAGAGAAACGCTGTCGAGTTTATAAGTTGGACAAATTTTAGTGACGATTTAACAGAAACTATTTATTTCTTTATTTATTTGCACATGCAAGTTGAAATCCTTCCAGTTTTAAGTTTGAGTATTAATGCGGAGAAATGTAATTGCCGAAGTATATATAATATATATCATGTGTTTAGAATGCATTTTGCAGACGCTATCTGTACATACTATTTAAGATACAGTTTTTACAAAAAATAATATATGTATAAAATTGAAAAAATGCTGTGCAGCGATTATACTGGAGCCATTTTGGGCTTTGGGACGTACCATTTTTTCAGTATATAAGAAGTGTTTTGAATAATGTACTAAAGTCTCTATTGTACAAATAATAAAAATGTCACTATTGGTAATATGGGCTTCTCCTGGTGCACTGAGCTGTTTTTAGGAGGGTGGAGGAATAAAACAACACTTTTCTTTCCATATTTATGCGTAAGGAAAAGGGGAGGCAGGAGAAAGGAGTGAGGAAAAAAATGAGTTCAAATGCAGATACGGGAAATGCAGGGGCCAGAATAAGGAATGAAAGTAATGCTGCAGTGAAAGAAGCTGAACAGAACAGAGAAGATGGTGAAAGGTGAATATGGGAAAAAGTGAAATGGGAAAAGAAAAGGAACCGATGGATAAATTATGTGAAGGAAAAGACAGTGATGAGGATCGCCTCAGCAGGTCTGTGGGAGATTACAGTTACCTCTGTGGATTAAACTCAGCAGGGCCTCTCATCATCTCTGCAGATGCTCCTTTGTCTCTCTGTCCATTAGGCTAACAGCCTGACTCCTCTTCATCCCTCTTGATCCATCCATCTCATCTATTCTTGACACTTATCTGAGCTGTAGATCGCAGAGGGTCAGCCGAGTTCTGACAGGTGCCTCACAGTGTGTCTCTTCTGGGGCTCAAAACCCACGTTGAAGAAAAAGCTTGGCGCATCGTGGTAAGTATGAAAATCTTACTAGTTCATGCACACAGGTTACTCTGCAATTAAGGCAAACGATTTAACATGATAATTCAAATCCAGAAAGTAGTAATTGGTTCTTGTTGGGTCTGTGCTTCCACAAGCCCCGCTAGTTTAGAGACTTATTCCTCATGAAGAACACAAGACATAACAGAACATCTTCAACCGGTTTTTCACTCGCTAACGAGGGAAGTTTTGGTCAAGAACCAGCTCTTGGAGCTCATGCTCCTTACCTGTCTCATGCCCAAAATCCTTCAAAGAGCAGCTTCCCTCGCAGCTATTTATTGACAAACTGTTACAATACACAGCACAGCACAAGCAGCTCCCTCAGTAAACTCCCCAATGGTTCTAAGACAAGGCACTATGTGTGTGTATGTGTAAGCACCTGTATGCATGTGCAAGAACGTGTGTGTGTGTGTGTGTGTGTGTGTGTGTGTGTGTGTTGTGTGTGTGTGTGTGTGGTGTGTGTGTGTGTGTGTGTGTGTGTGTGTGTGTGGTGTGTGTGTCTGTGTGCATGACTTCCTGCTCACCAAAAGGATCATAAAAGCAGGAAGCAACATCACAAGAAACAGATCTTTCAGATAGGATGTATCTGCAATAAAACCTCCCCCTGCACAGAGTGGCTGGAGAGGTGGTCAGAGACAAAGGGATGTCTTGATCCTATAGATTGAACTCAGACTTACAAATTTAAGAAACCCAATGACAACATTCAACAATTAGACTTAACAGTTCTATATGGAAATCTTAGTTGAAACCAAAACGTTTTATGAACTTAACCAGAAGCCTTCAATGTATGTAGTGGGAATTAGTGAAAAGGAAATTTAATGAGAATGAATCAATGAGTTCATTTGTAGGCCAACGAAAATCCCAGCTTTGAGGAGTTTGCATGTTCTCCTTGTACTCTGGGGTGACTGACAGACTGATAAGACTGTCCAGGATGCACCTCGCCTCTTGCCCTATGGCTGTTGGGATATGATCCAGCCCTCACAGTGATCCTGAAATGGATGGATGGAGTCCATTGCCCTGTGTGTTCAGTTACTCAGCAGTCATTTTGTCTACATTACACAGTATGGTGAAGTACGTGGGTTGCCATTTAAAATAAGGCAAATGGGTTTTTTTCTATATATTTTCTATTTTTTTTAATATAATAAAAATTTATCCAAAAAGGTAATAAAGAAAATATGTAATTTCCTCAATGACGTCCAGTATTTTTGAATGCATCACAGATACATTAGTAGTTAGTTTTCAGTTTAACACATTGCACGCTAAACATGTGAGCAGCTCATAAAATATTTTGACTTACCTGCATAAAGTCAGCTGCATTGCTCAATCAACTATGTGCATCATTAACATTCAATACAAATAAATGCACATGTAACTGTAAACAAACAACACTAACAGATATTTGTCAAGAGGAATTTAAGTACCTGTTGATGATGTGTGTGATGTGTATTTTTAACACATCTGAGTTTTTGTCTCTGCAACCAAACTGGAAGTTAGATGCCTTTTTTCTAAACTCTCTATCCGGTGGCAGGTTTGTACCATTCCCCACTGTTCTCTTGGCATCAGAGCCCACTGTAGAACAAGTCTGCTTACTGTGGTATCAGCCGACAATAAACAATAGAGAGTAACACCGCACACACACACACAGGCGCCCACACACTAACGTACATTCTGGCAAAAAGCAGAATGACGTCCTTTTGTTCCCTTCCCTCTTTACTCTGTCTTTTACACACTGCATTGGACAAAAAGATACTTCTGTTTGCCACATGACCAACCCACTTACACAATCATGCATGCATTTACTCCCCACTCTGACTCATATATTATACTGGAATCAGAGTGACTGCTGGCGAGAATTTGTAAGAGATACAGAGCGAGAGTTTATGTGCACCCACCAAAATGGTCAATAAGCTCTTCTGACCTAATCAATAACAATACCAGAGCCTGGGTCCATGACCTGCATTCAGCTGCTGCATGCTTATGCTGATGGAAGTGTCCCTACCACTGCTCTACTGTCCACATGAAGACACAGGCGCAGTGTGTCTCCAGCATGCATGAACTCTGCTTTTCTAATGTCACTCTCTGAATGATTTCATCTTTTTAGTCTTACGGTTGTCTCTAAAGGTGATTTATGCTCACCCATTAAACACACCACATCACAGTAAAACAAAGATAAACAAGGCAGTGGAACAAAAGGACACCATATCATTTAGGAAAAGCTACTCTTTGGCTAGTTGGATGAAATGATCAATAACAGTTTCCTGTCTATTAAACCAAGCATAGATTGCTTTTCATAGTTTAACATATCCTGGAAGTAGAGCTCTTCATCTTATATATCTATATGTAACTTTTAAAAAATATAGGTTAGCTAAATTTAGCAAACAGGAAATAATTTGAAAATGACTCTGAAAGAAATACTAAAATTAGGTGATGAAACCATACCATATGTGTCTATCTACTATGTTGATGACCTATGTAAGAGATTAAATGCTTCCAGTCGCATAAGTGTGCTGCTTAAGGTAAAAGTGGACAGTTTATTGCCACTTCCTCTTAATAACTGACACAGTGACAGAGATACAAATGTCAGCTACATTCTTTAAAACAGAAAGCTTGCAAGAACCACTTAAATAACCACATTTATTAGTTTATTTATTTATATCCTTGCTATAATGATAAGTGCATGTGCATGTTTGTATTTACACTATGTGTTTCTTAATGGGTGTGCCAATGTCAATAAAACTTTGCACAAATATCATTGCACATACAGCAATTATACTTCACAGTGACCAAAATGTATATCTGCAACAGAATTTTGTTCAAGTCACAACTAAATACAAAATGAAGAATGTGAAAAGTGCAGCAGACCTGGCAAAAATTGCCCTTGGTGTTGGTTTTTGCTAGTTATGACTAATGAGTTGGCAAAATCTCTTCAGCTTTAAGTAACGACTGAAGCATTATGGATTCATATTTATTATTACGCTTTCTTATTACTTCAGTTTTTCCCAGTACAGCTTGCTTAGCTTGCTGTTAGCTCTTGTGCTAGGCACAGCTTTTTGTGATGTCCTAACAGATGTGTCAGTGGTACAGATCAGGAGTTTGGGCTTCAGGTTTCCTGAGCAATATTAATTGTACTTAGTTAGTCTGTTGCTTAGCAAAAATTAGCCAACAGGTGTATCTATTTTTTACCATCTCATAGTTTATGATTGGACATTGTCAATTGAGCTAATTGGTGTAGCAGGCAATAAATTAGCAATCCACCCATTGATCCATATAAAGTATATTCTGGGTCCAAAAAGCCAACATGGAAGCAGGAAATGAAATACAGACCCCAAAACTAGTGGGTGATATTGTGGTGGCATACTGTCTATGTGTAAAACATCTTGAGTGTTATGTTTTTTAAAAGGAAATGTTTCACAGTCCCACTAACCTGTCAGGAGACGTTTTAATTAATTATGGAAATTTACAGTTACATTCAAAAACACTACTCTGTATAAATTTCCTCTCAAGGGTGGCGGTTAGTAAGTGTCAATATATAGCAATATATTCATTATACGTCATGACAATGATCCCAAACACAATGCTGAAGCAGTAAATGCATGGGTAGAAAAACAGCATTTTTCTGGCTTGTGTAGCTTTAGGATCCCCACTTGATCACTGATAGCAAAACACCTCGCTTTTAAGAAACTTAATTCATGCAAAGGGCAAAGACAATAGGTCAAAAATACTGATAAATTTTGATTTCTATCACACAGAGTTTTGTTTTTTTCACTGAATGGGGCAGCAGATGCTGATACTGATTGAGCATCTCCCGTGTCGCTCTGACTGGAATAGCAAAACTTTTTGCAACTCTTGCTCAGAGACAACCAGGAAAGCAGGCTACGGCTCGCATAAAGGTAGAAAAGGAGGGACGACAGACTGCATGCTAAAGCTGAATGGGCATTATGGCTCTCTATATATACTCATATAGAGTCATTAGATTCTAAAGAAAGGCTTTATTTCTTTCCACTACTAAAGAGGACTTGCCTGGTAGGGATGTGGATCACTACAGTTTAGTGAGACAGGTCTGGTACAGGGGATGGTTTTCATCTACTCAGCACACTCAGTTTACCATGACAATATGGCTAAAACCACACAGGGATGAAGTGCCTGGACTTTTGCTGGGATTGCACCAGTGACATTTCAATTGGACCCCCTTGTATTTTTCTTTGTATGCACCCATGTAAGCTCCATAAACAGACATAACTGAGTGACAAGAGCCAAAGACTAAGTTGGGAACAGGAGAGGAAAGCTTTCATAGATTTAATGTAGTTAGATCAGTATCTGTAAACCCAAGTCTGTCCTCGGCATTGAGTGGATTAGATGTTGATAGGCAACCCAGAATAGACCGGGCTTTTATCCACT